GCCCCCCCCCCCCACAACACCCAGCTGTTTTTGTTTGTTTGTTTGTTTTAGAGACGAGGTCTCACTCTCGCTCAGGCTGATCTTGAACCTGTGAGCTCAGGCAATCCACCTGCCTTGGCCTCCCACAGTGCTAGGATTACAGGCATGAGCCACTGCACCCACCCTCTTTATAAACCATATCTATATATTAGAGTCAGCAACAGGTATGAACCAAAAATTCCATTTCATTTACCACAAGAGATTCAAACTGGTTATGTTCAGGCTTTTTCAGTTGCCTACTGTTCTTGGTGATGGGATTTTGTAGGTTGGACAGATTGAGTCTTCAATCACACTTTGAGTTGCCAAAATGAGAGAATAGCTTCCCTTAGAGGAGAAGCTGAGCATTAATTAGTGCTCAGCAAGTGATGGGGTGGGGGTGAATGAATCAAAAATAAATAAGATACAATCCCTGCTTTTGAGATACCCACAGTGAGACCAGGAAGTAAACTGGATAATTATCATACAGGGATGACCAGTTCTACAAATAGTAAGCACAGAAAAAGGGCATCTAACTCAGCACTGGCTGAAGAAGAAGGCAGAGGATTAAATCTCTTCCTGAGCAGGAGTTGGGAGGTTTAGAGCAGTGGCTTTGGATGTTAGTGTGCATCAGAGTCACCTGGGAGCTTGCTAAACAACAGACAGCTACGTCCCACCGTCAGCCTTTCTGATTTAGTCAGGTAGTCCTAAGAGTGTGCATTTTTAACAAGTTCCTAGAAGACACTGGTAGGGCTGGCCTTGGAACCATATTTTGAAAACCTCTGGTTAATTGCAAAGAATTTTGGTGGCTGGGCTCTAGCAGCTCAAAGGCAGGAGGAAGGGGATGGCAGGTGACACTGAAGCCTAAGGAACAGGGATCTTATCGTGAGGTTGTGGGGAGCCAATAGCAGGTTTTAAGGAGGAGGGTGATGGATTCTGTTTGCCTTTTGGAAATAGCATTTTGGGTGTGGAATGGGGGATAGACCAGAGGCAGGACCAGGTTGAGGACTAGAACATGAAATAAGTGGTGTCTTATAGCCATTCAGACAAGAGATACTGAAAACTTGGAATAAGGGCAAGGGGAGAAAAGCTCCTTAGGACTTGGTGGCCAATTGGAAATGGGAGGGACAGAGAGGGAGGAATTGGTGAGACCTGTCAGACTTTTGACTGCGTTACTCAAGACACAGAAAGAGAAATGGGTCTGAATCAGGGTCATGGAAAGAGAGCAAGGGAGGGAAATTGAATGTGGGACGCATTGGATTTGAGAAGCCAGCAAGCTGTCAGGGTGCACCCTCCCATGTATAGACAGTTTTACTCGTGGGTCTGGAGGCCAGGAGCAAGGTCTGGTAAATAATCCAGCCCTTTCTTCCTGCCGCTTCCATTTGGTCTCCCATATGGTTTGTTTGGGTTGGGCATCATATTTACAAAGAAACAATATAAACTTTAAGGGCCGTAAGAACCTGGTACTTTTCAAGATGTTTTCTCAAAAAAAAAAAAAAAAAGTTCTCCTTTTTTTCTTTCGGGGGCAAAAAAAAGAGTTGAAGTACCACTTGTCTCCCAGCACCAGAAGAGGTTAATAAAGCCGCCTTCTGTGTGAGAGTCCTGTCGAACTGGATCTTAGCAAGCTTGAAAGGGGAAAAATCACTTGACTGGTCTGCAGGGCCATATGACGAACAGCTGAGACTAATTAGCTGGATTGTGGGTTTTTATAGCAGTGCCTGATTTTCAAAGTTGATGGAGCGAACTGCTTTTCAAAAGACTCTTTTGAAAACCTTTATAAGTAGGCCATTCTGATTCAACATTTCTCCTTGTCTCAATATTAGACGAGAAGTAGCCATCTTGAAGAGGACATGCGATCGGAAGTTATTGATTATTGACGCGTGTTGGCAGCTCCCGTCTCTAAAAGTTTTAGAAAAACTGGACAAACGGTTCTCTACCCTGAGAGGTATGGTTCTGCATTTATCTTTTCATTTTTCCTGAAGTGGTTTTGAGCTCTGCCATGCCAATTTTGAAAATGCTTAAATCGTGTGCAATTTTATGTAAACACCACTGCACATGTTATTATTTTTAAGCAAAGACTTCACAATATCTGCTCGATTTCTTGGGATTACTGTGAGAAGTGCATTTTCAATGACCAAGGAGTTAATATGAATATGGACTGTATTCTCCCTTTCTTTACTCTAATCAAGTAACTTAAGTCTTTATTCTTAGACAATATGTTGAATAAAACAGCTAAGAAACTGAATTCCTCTACTAGTGTTGCTTGTCCTCTGAGGATTTTATCCACACAAATTCAAGCTCCTTCTGGGAGGCTGAGGTGGGTGCATTGCCTGAGCTCAGGAGTCAAGACCGACCTGAGTGAGAGTGAGACCCTGTCTCTACTAAAAAAAAAGAAAAAAAGAAAAATTGAGGCAAGAGGATCGCTTCAGCCCAAGAGTTTGAGGTTGCTGTGAGCTATGATGCAACAGCACTCTACCAAGGTGACAAAGTGAGACTGTCTCAAACAAATAAAAAAATTAAAGCTTCTTGGGACTTTGTTTTTATTTTATTTTATTTATTTATTTTTTTAGACAGAGTCTCACTAGGTTGCCCTTGGTAGTGTGCTGTGGCATCACAGCTCTCGGCCACCTGAAATTCTTGGGCTTAAGTGATTCTCTTGCCTCAGCCTCCCAAGTAGCTGAGACTACAGGCGCCTGCCAAATGCCTGACTATTTTTTGTTGTAGTTGTTTAGCTGTTGTTCAGTTGGCCCAGGCCGGGTTTAAACCCGCCACCTTCAGTGTATGTAGCTGGCACCGTAACCCCTGGGCTATGGGCGCCGAGCCATGGGACTTTGTTTTTAATATGAAAAGCTTTAATGGAGGAGCGTGTGTGTTTTTGTATATGGTAGATTTCTTCTGTGAATGAAATCTGCTTTGAAATTATTGTTAATTGTATTAGGTGTGATAAGGGTATTGTGGCTATGTGAGGAAAGTTCCGCATATGTTAGAGATGTACCGTGAAGTGTGCTGGAGGGAGAGATTTGGGCGCTGAGTGTGCTGAGAGCTTTCGTTACATAATCCTCTACTTATGGGTATTAGTTTATCAGGGCTGCTATAACAATGTGCTGTAAACTGGGTGACTTCACAACGGAAACGTATTGTCGTACAGTTCTGGATCCCTGAACTCCCAGATGAAGCTGTTAGCAGGACAGTTTCCTTCTGAGGCTGCGAGGGAGGGTCGACCGTTCCATGCTCTGCTCCTTGGCTTGCAGATGGCTGTCTCCTCCCCACACCCCTTCACATCATCTTCCTTCTGTTCATGTCTGCATCCAGATTTCCTTATCAGGACACCTGTCATATTGGAGTAGAGCCCACCCTAATGACCTCTTTTTAACTTGCTTACCTCTATAAAGGTCCTATCTCCAAAAAAAATTACAGTTTGAGGAACTGCGACTTAGGACTTCAACATGTCAATTTTAGAGGAACATAATTCAAACCCCAGTGAATACCTTTGCCAAATTTCATAGTATTGGCAGGCCACAGTAGCATATGCTTATAATCCCTGGACTTGGGAGGCTGAGGAGGGAGGATCATTTCAGACCAGCCTAGGCAACATAGTGAGACACATCTCTACAAAAAATAAAGAAAAATTGGCTGAGTGTGGTAGTGAGTGTATGTAATCTCATCTACTTTGGAGGCTGAGGGAGGAGGATTGCTTGAGACCTGGAGTTGGAGTCTGCTAAGATCCTGCCATTGCACTCCAGTCTGGACCACAGAGTTAGATCCCATCTCTTTTTTTCTGAGACAGAGTTTTACTATGTTGCTCTTAGGAGAGTGCAGTGGCGTCACAGCTCACAGCAACCTCCAACTCTTGGGCTTAAGAGATTCTCTTGCCTCAGCCTCCCAAGTAGCTGGGACTATGGGCAGCCACCACAACACCCAGCTATTTTTTTGTTATAGTTGTCATTGTTTGGCAGGCTTGGGCCAGGTTTGAACCCGCCAGTTCTGGTGTATGTGGCCAGTGCCGTAGCCACTGTGCCATGAGCGCTGAGCCAATCCCATCTCTTAAAAAAAAAAAATTAATATCATCACATTTTAAAGATTGACCTCCAAATGCACTTAAGCCCAGTACCTGGCTGTGCTGGATCCCAAGTGTGTGAAGATGAGTAAGGCATGGTCCCTGCTCACTGCCCTGTGGTTTTATTAGACGTATGGATCTAACTTTGTGTATATGTGCTTACCTGTGGCTTACACTGAGTTTCAGCCACTTTCATAGTTGTATGTCCCTACAGGCACAGTCAGGCTCCTGGCACATGGACAGTGTGATATCCTGTGAGAGCCACCTAGAAAGGCTCCTTTTCCCCGAGTGCCCCCAACTATATAGGTGAAGAGAGTGGAAGAATTCTTTTTTTTTTGAGACAGAATCTCACTCTGTCACCCTCGCTAGCGTGCTGTGGATCATAGCTTACAGCAATCTCAAACTCTTGGGCTCAAAGCAATTCTCTTGCCTTAGCCTTACTGGTAGCTGGGACTACAGGTGCCTACCACAACGCCTGGCTATTTTTAGAGATGGGGTCTTGCTCTTGCTCAGGCTGGGCTTGAACTCCTGAGCTCAAGCAATCCACCAGCTCAGCCTCCCAGAGTACTGGGATTCCAGGCATGAGCCACTGCGTCCAGCCCTTTTTTCATTTTTTTTTTTTTTCTTGAGGCAGAGTCTCACTATGTCACTCTTGGTGGAGTGCTGTGGCATCACAGCTCATAGCAACGTCAAACTCCTGGGCTTAAGCAATTCTCTTGCCACCACAACACCCAAGTATTTTTTGGTTGTAGTTAATCATTGTTTGGCAGGCCCGGGCTGGATTCGAACCCACCAGGTCTAGTGTATTTGGCTGGTACCTTAGCTGCTTGGGCTATAGGCGCCACCCTTGCAGAAGGATTCTTAATGTTCATCTAGTCTAACCTCCTTCTACAGATGAGGAAATAAAGGCTTAGAAGTGCTAGTCTTTTGGCTGATTTGTGTTAGCACCAGGGCATCCTGCAGGGTGTCCTGACGTTCACTCCAGGATGCTGATCAGGAAAGACAACATTTTGTTTTCATTCCACAAGCTTTTCACCTGCGATTGAACCCAGTGCCACATTATCAGAAGTCATTGTGGGAAAGAGCCTTGATTACAAATTGACCCCCTTTGTCAGGATCCTTAGATTGTAAACACCCCAAAGTATGTTTTTCAGAGGAGTGTTTATTCACGAGGGCACCTCATGCATAGTATGAGGCTGGATTTCATACACTCCAGAGGGGTTTACCCTGGTCGTGGTTGCTTTCCCTGTCTCTCACCACTCTGTCTTTATCCCTTCCAGACACAGTGTTCAATAACCTTCAGCCGTTAGAACACCATCAACATCCTTTTCTTCTTTCTCACTGCTTCTGCTGCCCACAGGACAGGAACTGTGGCAGCAGTGGAACGCACTGATGAAACCTTGCTGCCCGGCAGGATGGCACCATGGCAACAGGGCCGGGGCACATGTGAGGGCCGCGGGCTGCCTCTCTGCGGCTGTTTTGACTTCCACCCTCTCCAGAACTTCAGTGCCCAAGTGCTCAAGAAGGAAATGGTCACCTCCCCCCATTTCTGTTTTTCCTTGTTAGGATTAAAGCTTCCTGAGAGATCTGGCCATCTTTTGCTGTTATTCCATTCTTCTTCCCTCTGAACTCAGTGGATTTAGATAGAGCCCGAACTCAGGAGATAGCATGTAGCTGATGAGTCATATGAAGCCCATTAAAAAGCAAAGCTGATTATCGCAGGATAATTTTTATTTGCTCTGTTTTGCAAGAGGATGTTTTCTTCTGTGCTTCTGGTGTGCTGTGGTGTGGCTTGGGCCCTGCCCACTTGGCAGAGCAGAGGTCCCGTGGTGTAGGGGCTGGGGAGAGGGGGTGATGGATGAGGCTGGTGGTGCTGGAGAGATGAACTCACATTGGTGCTGCTTCTCTGGAGACAGGAGCCACTTTGCTCAAACACAGACATAAATCATCCTTCCAAGAGCTGAGAGCATCAATTACTTTTGTTTATTTTTTCTTGTCTTTCCCATTCCATACTCTATCAGGTTTCTCCTCTCAGTGACATTATCTGAGCTGGGATCCTGTAGCAATCCTTTAGTGAGATTCATCACTCAGCAAAGGAGAAAACCCAGATTGCTGCCCTAAGCACATGCACCTCTGTGTTGGGGTGACCAGCCCAGCCTGTGGCCGTCACTACTTGGAAAATCCTTTTCCTAGTGTTCTTGGATGTCTCTTGCTGCTCCTGATATTCTGGCTCTCTCCTCATTTTAAATGCCTGTCTCATCTCTCCCAGGGCCTCTGTATTGGTGATTGTAAAATTCATAGCCTTGTTCTTCTTTTGAACCCTAGTTCTGTTTTCCAAGTGCTAATTATTTAATTTTATTTTTTATTATTTATTTATTTATTTTTGAGACAGAGCCTCAAATTGTCCCCCTGGGTAGAGTGCCATGGCATCACAGCTCACAGCAACCTCCAACTCCTGGGCTCAAGCGAGTCTCCTGCCTCTGCCTCCCAAGTAGCTGGGACCACAGGCGCCCACCACAATGCCTGGCTATTTTTTGGTTGCAGCTGGCATTGTTGTTTGGCAGGCCAGGCTGGATTCAAACCCGCCACCTTAGGTGCATGTGGCTGGCGCCTTAGCCACTTGAGCCACAGGTGCCGAGCCTCCAAATGCTAATTAAACATGACTTTCTGGATGTCCCTCAGACATGAGGGATATTTAATTGATTGTGTCTCTTGTGGTATAACAGTAGTTGAATGTGCCCGAGTTTAGGTCTGGGTTCTGCCAATTCTGGCCCTGTGACCGTGGGCAAGTTTCTTAACCTTTCTTTGTTTCTGAAGATCAAGAACCTTATAGGGTTGTCGTGAAGACTGAATGAGTTAACATTTTGAAGAATTTGGCTCAGTGTCTG